CAGAGGTTCCCAGGCCCAGGCCTAAAGGACCGAGATTACCTGTCAGATACTCAGCTGAAGAGACGGAGGTCGTGGTGTTTTCTGGGTTTCCAAGTGCCAACAAAGGTGTAGCTAGGCCCTGCCATTTCCCAGATATACATCTTCGTATTTTCACGTGAAAAATTGTGCGAAAGGTAAAGGTGAGGTTTCTTTCATACACCTTGTGAAGCATGTTATCACTTTCAGATTGAGTCCCAGTCATCAGTCCATAGGTAGTGATGTGTGATGGGAAGAAACGTATGTTCTGGTAACACTGAATATAGTAAAATAGACTCTGTGCCTTTTTTTTTTTTAACTCTATTTTAGTAATTTATGCATACTAGAATGGGGGGTGAAACAGAGGTATGGGGTGGGAAATTCACCAGAAAAAGAATGGAAAGCAGAACATGCAGGTCTACTGAAACACTGCTGAGGGGAGCAGCAGGCCAGACAGGAGAGGTTTGCTGTGCCATGTGGGTCAGCTCCCAGCCTGGGGATAAGACTTGTGCTGCAGTGGCTGCAGATAGCTTCATAGTGCTGAGACATCATAACACCTTGAGCCACCTGGGAGGCCCAATATCCGGCACATCTAACCTATCTTGTTTTTCAAAGGTCATAGCAGACTGTGTATAAGAGTATTCATTGCAGTGACAGTTACAAAAAATTAGAAACTAAATTTCCGTCCATGGGGCTTGAAGAATCTCTGGTAGCTTCAGATACTGGAAAACAATGCAGCTGTAAAATTACAATTTTAAGCACTGTAGAGATACTGTAATTTTTTAAAAACTTTCTCTAAAGATTTTATTTATTTATGCATACAGAAATGGAGTACAGGCTAGAGGTGCAGGCCCAGTGAGCAGATTCAGAAACAGAGTAGAAAGCAGAACAGGCAGATCAACAAAGTACACTTCTGAGGGGAGCAGAGGGGGAGAGGAGAGAGGTCTGCAGTGCCATGTGGGTCACCTCGGGGGCCAGGGCTTGAACTCACACTGAAGCGGCTGGCTTGGCTTAGCATTGCAGTGCCTGGCTCCAACCCACGGTGCCATCAGGGAGGACTGATATACTGTAATTTTAAGTAAAGCAATCAGGAGACAAAACATGAACGATGTATGAATAATACAAAGAAAAATAACATCAGAAATATATCAAAATATCAAGTGGTTATGTTGGTTATCAGGGTTAGGAGTGATTTTTGTTTTCCTTGTAATTTTTGCGTTCTCCAGATTTTCTGGAAGTGAACCATATAGTCAGAAGAAAATTTTATACTCAGAAACATTATTACCATAAAATTAGGATAGCATTAATAAACAACTTTTAAAGGCAGTTGAAAAACATTTGTAAGTTATATGTTTAAAGATACTGGGTTTCATTATAGCTTGATTATCAGCCTTGTAGTTGAGTTTAAATTTAAGTCAAGTGGACAAATATTTATTGAATACCTAGTATTCTCATTTTATAGAAAGTAATGCTATTTAAAATTTTTATGTATGAGTACATCTTAAGTAGGTCATTATATCCACATGTTCAGAAAAAGAATGCTTGGGCCTCCCTGGTGGCACAAGGGTTAAGTCTCAGCACTATCAAGCTATCACCAGCCACTGCAGCCTGAGTTCAATCCCCTGCCAGGGAGGTGACCCACATGGCACAGCAGACCTCTCCTGTCTCACCTGCTGTTTCTTTCAGCAGTGTGGTTCAGTAGATCTGCCTGTTCTGCTCCCCACTCTGTCTCTGGTGAGTCCTCTCACTATCCTCTCACCTTTGGCCTGTACCACAGTGTTTGTATGCAGAAAAAAATAAATCTTTAAAGAAAAAAGAATGCTCAGTGGATTAATAAAAACAAATTACTTAAGACAAATACAGTCTCATCTCTGAATTATATATTGAAGGAATGTATCTCTTAAATTTTTTTATGTTAATGATATATTTTATTAAATATAGATCCCATGAAAGCACTATATTCTGTTATTTAAAGGTATATTGGTCCACACTTAAGTAGAAATCTTTTGTAAATCTCTAATTTTATATATTTATACATACATGTATTTTTTTGGTTTGTTAGGCAGAAGACGCTGATGAGGCGATGAGTAAATACCTATCAGAAAAGTTAAAGATGAAAGACAAATGGTTTGGTGTCTGGAAGACTAACCCTGAGTTATTCTTTGTGAAATATGAAGAAGCTTCTATCCCCTTTGTTGGTATTCTGGTTGAGGTAAATAATTTTCACCTTACATTTGCTTTCGAGGGAAGTTTCTATTCTTTTGCAGACCAAATTATGACCATGTTAATTTAGGGCTTTGAAACATAGAGATTGTCAAAAATTTCCCTCTGTTTTAAGTGTTTACAATTTAATAGTATAAACAGACAGGGGATATGAGCACCCACCTACCTATAACAGTTATTGTTAAATGGAATTTGACAGTATTTATTGACTATTTTCAGTCACTCAGTAACATAAAAATAGCAAAAGTACATATCTTGAAAAATTAGTAATTTATGCTTCAACAATCTTGGGCCTTCATTTTCCATGAGTAACCTTTAAGAATTAAGAATTAGATGAAGAAAGAAAAAAGTTAATCACAAAATGATTTAATTGGGAGTTTTTTCCCTACAAAAGTGCCATTTTAGTTAATATATAACTTGTAAATTTTTATCAAGTAAAACTGCTTTTTTAACGCCTGTGAGTCATATATTATAGCATATTTGATGTCATAAAATTTTCCTGTAAAAGTCAATTATCCTTATATAAAAATATTTATAATCATAAATAGTTCACCTGCCCCAGATACACCCACACACCCACACACACACACACACACACACACACATATATTTCAAAAAAACTTGTTTGAAACTCACAACATTGAGTAAGACCTGAAAATAATTAAATGTTTGATGGATTAAAAATGGCATGTTTTCAGTCAGAGCCTATAAAGGAATTTGGAAAGTGTCTTGGGATTCATTTTTCAATAATAAAAATACAATAATCGTATTTTTATTGTTTCTTTGAGGTTTGTTCAGCTTCTGAGTAGCTTTTCCTGGCATTTTCATAACTTCTCTAGACTTCCTTCATGTGGATAAAATAAGAGTAGATGAACCATATCAGCTACTTTAACTTTTTTTTTTAGCAGTATAAATTTGAGGTTTTATTTAGTCATTTTACGCGTGGAAGTCCAGTGTATTCAAATATCAGGCATATCATTTCTGAAATGAAGTTTGGTAGCCAAAAATTGTTTGGCTTTTTTACACCTCCTGACAGCCTGTAGAGTCACCATTTAAAACACTTCAAATTCCCCCAGAGTTATGTGGAAACTCTGGTTCAGGTTACCTGAAAATCCTATCCAGTTCTAAGGTTTATGTGCTATACATTATTTGTTTTCTTCTTATTCCAAAAACAAGATTGAAGATTGCCTTAGAATCCTCTCAGGAATGCTAACATCCTTTAAACATTAGAAAGATATGAAAAAGGGGAAAAAAACAGAATAGTATATCGGTGGACTCTAATTTGTTTCATTATGTGGCAGTGAGACTAAATCTTAGCTGCTCCACACTTCAGATGTTGCTACACAGTTAAGAGGTGTTTCATCTGCCTCTGCCTCTTTAGTCTTACTTGGACTATCAGTAGTTTGTTTGCTCTTTGTTTGCTCTGTCTGAAGTCGCAATAACGTATTCTGTGGGCCACAATCTCAGTCTTTGTCTTTCCAATGTTTTATTAGTTTCCTGTTGCTACCACAATCTCAGTCTTTTTCTTTACAATGTTTTATTAGTTTCCTGTTGCTACTATAGCACATTATCAAACTTGGTGACTTGAACAATAACATTTATTTCTTAGAATTCTATAGAAACAATATCTGACATGGGCCTAGCTGCGTGAACATCAAGGTTCAGGCAGGTTTATGCCTTCCTGAGGTCTGGGGCAGGATCTGTTTCCTTGCCTTTTCCTGCCTGTAGAAACTGCCTGTATTCAGTGATTTGTGACCCTCTTCCTCCAACTGCAGAGTCTTTCTCATATACTGTTTCTGGTCCTCTGCTTCCCTTTTAAAGAGGTCTGAGATTAGATTTGCAAACATATCTTTTTCTTTATACTTTGCAATCTTAAAAATATTTTCATAGTGTAATATTGAAAATTTCCTAAAATATTTATATACTTTACAATTAAGTCATTTTCTATAAGCTGGTTTTGGGGTTCAGTGTTAACAACAATGCCCTGTCACATATTAAAAGCATTTTTAATTATAATTTGGAACACAGTAAGATAATATATAATAATGTATGGGACACATATGTTTCAGACCATGCTGTCATTGAAATATAAAAATACTGAAGTATATGACTATCTTTACCCAGCAGATGAAGAATCTCAAGTTAACGGTCTGATTTATTTTTATAATATATTAAGACATGGTATATAAGTCATATGAAATACTAAATACTATTTTAACCCATATATGGTTTAAATCTCATATTAATCAGTTAAAATTGAGATCAATTTTAAAGAAGACATACAATTTAGTGATCTTGTATGTCTAATTAAGAGCCAATTAGGAAAAAAATAGCCTCATTGCTGAAGACAACAAAAAATCGGAGTTAATTTAAGGTGTAAAACAAAGTTCAAAGCATACAAGAAGAAAACTACAGAATTTTAGATAGAAACAGATACACAAGCAGTTTTAATGATTGATGCTTCTGGATGAGATAATATAAACATTTCAGTTATTGATGCATTAAATTGATGCAATACTAGTTCAGAATCCAATGGAACTTCACTGAAAGCCTCCCCACCCTCAAAAGGATTGGAAATTTAATCTGAACAAATAAATGTAAATGAATAACCACATTTCCCCCCAAAAAAAGATGAGTACTATTTGATTTGAAAATGGATTCACACTACTAGCACAGTTTTATTGAATAATAAGGAAAAATTACCAGTTCCATAATGACTTTAAAATTCTAAAAGTATTGGTATTTTAGTAATCACAATTGATTTCTTTTAATACTTTTTAATCCTGTAAAGGTTTTTTAAAGTAAATACTGGTTTTAATCAGTAATACTTTTTATTAATTATTAATAACATGGTGAATGCATAGTTGATGTTTCTGAAAAGTGATCCAAATTCTGTGCTGTGCAGAGATGATGAAAAATTCTTATAGTATTTTATAAATGCATGCTGGGTTAAAGAAAGTTTACAGCTGTTGGGGTTCCATGGGATTAATACTTGCAACCCAGATTGCTTTAGTACATACTCTTTCAGTATGTTTAAATTCAGGTATTAAATACCATTTATACTGAAAACACCACAGAATGAATTATTCAAAGTCCATTGATTTACTGTTAATATCTGTTTTGGTTTGTAAACAAATTATAATATTTTCTTGCATAGTTTTGGAAATTTATATAGGAATTATGTATCTGCTTCTATAGGTACAGTGTAAAAATCACAAGCTGAGTAATGAAAGAATGTTGAAATGACACATTAAAACGTAAAAGTAAATATTTTGTACTTTTTCTCTGCCCCATCACTTCTTTTAAAAAGACACATATTAAACTGATGATAAATTTGTACCTCAGAATTGAATGATTTAAAGACATTTCCTATTTTAAATGTTATATTGCTGTAACACTTGCTGATAGTTACAAAGTTTTTTTTTTTTACCTAATTCTAATTAAAAATAAATACTTATGGACTGTTTGTGAAATTTTTTACTTAAGTACTTGTAATACTTTTAAATTTTGTATTAATATTTAATATAACCCATTAATTTTTTTAAAGATTTTTAGTTCATAGCACAATTTAACTGAAAGGTTCAGAGATTTCCCACATACCCTGTCCCAATTCTGTAAGCTCCATCAACATCACCTTTCCCCTCCAGAGTGGTACATTAGTTACAACTCATGAACCATGAATGTTAATATACCATTATATCCCAAAGTCCATAGTTTACATTAGGGTCAACTCTTAGTGCTGTGTATTCTGTGGGTAAATGTATATTGAAATGTATACATTATTTTGGTGTCATACATATTTTCACTTCACAAAAAAATGCTCTGATCTAATGTTCATCTTCCTTCCCAACCTCTTCCAACCCCTGATCTTTCTACTGTTTTTATAGTTTCCTCTTTTGTAGGGTGTCATTAGTTGGAATTATACAGTATGTAGCCATTTCAGATTTTCAGTCATTTAAAGTATCTAAAAATTTAAGGTTTATCTTATTTTTATAATAGTTTATTTATACATCATTCTGTGCCTCTTTCCATGTCAGTTGTAATACCTGTGGGCTTCCCATCACCGAATCACCCGTGTGCCGTCACCATAGTCCAGTGCACTTCCCCTCTCCCCCATTTTTGATCCCGTTCCCCATTCCACCCCAATAAAATGTCTATGGTATATAATTGTTCATTATTATTACTATAAAAATTTAAGGTTCATCTATTACCTATGCAAAGGACATTTTGTTTGTTTCCCAAGTTTTGGCAATTATAAATAAAACTGCAATATAAGTAGATTTAGGTACAAGACAAACATTGTTTTACTGAATGTGCTCTGAAAATTTTTACAATTGATTATTAGAAGTATTATTAAGGTATAATTAGCAAAATTATGTTACTTAAGGTGTGCAATGTGATGATATATATGTGTATCAACACTTCCTGTGAAAGGCCCCACTTAATGGAGTTAACACACCTCATATGTTTACCTTTTGTGAGAAAATTCACATTCCTACACTTGATCTTAGCCAAAAGACTGAGAAGTGATAGACAAAATTCACATTCCACAGATTTCAGTTAAGCAACATAATATTATCAATTCTAGGCACTAATGTCATATTTTAAAAGTTATTTTATTAATTTATGCATATAAGAACTGAGGGTTCAGCCTGAGATGCGGGGGTGAGAGGATTCAACAGAGACAAAGTGGGAAGCAGACCAGGTGGATCTACTGAAACACACTGCTGAAGGGAGCAGAAGGCAAGATATGAGAGGTCTGCTGAGCCATGTGGGTCAGCTCCCTCGCTGGGGATTGAACTCCTGCTGCAGTGGCTGTGGAGAGCTTGATAACCTTGAACCACCAGGGAGGCTCCCACTAATGCTATACATTAAAATCTCAGACCTTCTTCCTCTTATAACTGAAAGTTTGTATACTTTCACGACCTTCTATAAATTTTTAATTTTGTGTTAATTTAGTAATTTGCAAAACAGTATTGTGAACTCAGTGAAACCATATTTCTCAAGACTGATTTTCAGACAGATGCTGGAGATTATCATTTATATGAAATAAAATAAATAAATTTTTTTTATGAAGCTAAGTTTACTCAACTTAAGAACTTTTTTTATGTCCTTTCTACTTTTTTATTTGAATAGTCTCTCCTTTACAAATGATATATTATAGATTTTTTCTTAAAAAGATACTTTTATAGCAAAATGAATCCATAATTTTTTAAATTATTACTATCCTAGGGGAAAAAATGTCTGGGAGTTCAAATTTAGAAATAATTTCTGTCATGCACCTTAGAATTAATGTGTATGAGAAATTGTGTTTGAAAAATATGATATTTAATATTGATCTACATTCTGTATATTAAATATTAAGTTAGAACATTTAAAAGAATGTTTTAAAGTAACTCACATTGAGAAAAATTTCCTCATAGTTTAGTTTCATTTGTAATTACAATTTTATGACATTTTTCTTAGGTAACTTGTAAACCTCGCCAAAGTTCATCATCTTGTTTCAAGGTTACTGTTTCTGTTGCTGAGCCCTTTTCTTCCAACATTGCAAATATTCCAAGGGATTTGGTGGATGAGATTCTGGAAGAACTGGAGCACAGCGTGCCTCTCCTGGAAGTGTACCCTGTTGAAGGGCAAGATTCTGACATACATGATATTGCTCTGGCCTTGGAAGTTGTAAGGTACTCGGTTTTTAATTTTGTCTTCTTGAAGTTAAAATTTTATTTTGAAAGTTAATATTTATGCACTTCACGAATACTGATGTGATCTTTACCTCTGAATTCAGTTGGTCCTTTTTAAATGAAAATATTTAATGCTTAGTTAAAACATTCTCTTGTCAGAAGTGTTACATATAGGCAATGAAAAGTTTGCCAGTTGTTTTACCTTGGGTTTTATGAAAATTGAACTTATAAAGTCCTATAGCTCAACATTAATTTCGGTTCACATTTAAGCATCTTAAGTATATTCATTTCTCAAATAGATTTCATTATTTATACTTGACATAAATACTAGATTGCATCGCTCACATTATAATTGCTTCTTACAGACTGATACAACATAATAGGCACTATCCATTAACAAAACACAGATGACTTGGGGGCATGTTTTTAATTTTATACTTCTTCCCTCAGATTACAAATTCAATTTCCCAAATGAAAAATTAAGAATTAAAATGTATACGTAGAATTCTATGTTAAACATGCTAGTTACTGCTTTGATCACTATCTGATTTATCATAGGTTTTTTTATGACTTTCTTTGGAGAGACTGGGATGATGAAGAAAGTTGTGAGAATTACACTGCTTTGATTGAAGAAAGAATTAATTTGTAAGTATAGTTGAAAGCTTACCCAGAAAATTGTTGAGATAAACACTGTAACTGCCTTGTTCCTTTTCAGGTGGTGTGCTATACAAGATGGAACAATACCTGGTCCTATTGCACAACGTTTTAAAAAAACTTTGGAGAAATATAAAAACAAGCGTGTTGAGCTCATTGAGTACCAGAGTAATATCAAAGAAGATCCCTCTGCAGCAGAAGCTGTTGAATGCTGGAAAAAATACTATGAGATAGTAATGCTCTGTGGATTATTGAAAATGTGGGAAGATTTGCGCCTCCGGTAATAATTTGCTCTATTTTAAATGGAAACAAAAAGATTATGTGGTCAGTCTTTTACTTTATCAATTGCCTTGTCATATATATTACCCTGATTGAAGCAGAAAGTACAATTAGATGTCTAGTGTATGAGATAAGCACAAGGTACAACTACCAATGTTGGAAACATTTTTTATATGAGCTGATTCACTGGAATCAAATCATTGATTTGAGGGGAAAAAATATCTCATAAATGCTGTCCTGTCCTTATATTTCATTGTTACAGCCTTTATTTTAATTAAACATAAGAACTAAGAAGTTAGGCCATCTGAATGTATAGTGTGCAAAGCACAGAGAAAGTTTGTTTAATTTGACTGCCTTATAATTTCTGCATTTTTAACCAACATAAGCTGTTTTTAATGATAAAGCATTTATCATCATTTATGATTTAACCACCATCATTCTCCAGGAAGCTTTGAAACATACTAAAATAGTTTTACATTGTTGTACAATTTCTGTCTTGCTTAAGAGGGAAAAACAAATTCTTGCTCGCTTAAGAGGGAAAAACAAATTCTTGCTCTCGCGCCTCACCCCAAAATTAATGGAAAATCATCAATGGAGCCAAAAGGCTCTCTTCTATTTTTTAGTAAATTATTAACTCTCTTCCTGTATATTCCACCATTACTGATTCTTTGCCTTAGGAGTTCTGAGCCAAACAACAGCAGCAAAATGAATGCTAAGTCAAATTTTACTTTTCCAACATTTCATTTAGCTCAATATTTCTTTTTTGTATTTCTTTTAGATTTGACCTATTTTGCAATCTAGTAACTGTTTTTGTTTTTTTTTTAACATTTATTTATTTGTGCATACAGAACTGGGGTACAGGCCAGAGGCTCAGGGGCAGCAAGAAGCTTCACCAGAGACAGAGTGGGGAGCAGAACAGGCAGATCAACAAAGTACACTGCTGAGGGGAGCAGCGGGTGGGTCAGGCCATGTGGTCGCGCCATGTGGTCACCTCTGGGGCAGGCGGGAATCAAACTCATGTGGAAGTGGCTTTAGCTTCTCAGTGCTGTGCTTTAACCCTCTGCGCCATCAGGGAGGGCCTAGTAACTGTTTTTGATGTCTTATTATTGTGAACTTTGTGTAACAATATTTTGGCATTACTTTCAGAAATCAATTAGATAAGATTTCTTTAAATTCTCTAGATATTCAGCTCATGTTGAATTTGAATACAGGGTATAACTAGGTTTTTCAGTTCAGTGGTATAGGGCAACAGTGTCGTCTCGTTTCAAAAGTTATGATTGCAGAAAGTATTTTTAGGAGTGGTGGAGTGCTTTCATTAGTCACACAGAACTATTTGAAGGTACTAAGAAGTGACCAAAAGCAGGCAGCAACTAGAAAAGTTCATCTTTGAAATGGGTTTCCCCTTGGAATGTGTAAAAAATGGAAAATTGTGATTTTTTGGTCTTAGCATGATCCCCGTTTCTTATAGCTCTGCATCAAAAATACAATCTATTTTGTAAAAGATTTATTTATTTATTCATACAGAACTGGCCATAGGTACAGAGGGGTCAGAGGATTCACCAGAGACAGAGTGGGGAGCAGAACAGGTAGGTGGATGAAGTACATTGCTGAGGGGAGCGGCAGGTGGGTCAGGAGAGATCTGCTGCTCCATGTGGGTCACCTCTGGGGCCAGAGATTGAACTTACACGTACGTGGCTGCGGCTTGATTTCAGTGCTTTGTCCTAACCTACTGTGCCACTAGGGAGGGCCCCAATCTGACCATACTGTAGATGACAAAGAACAGAGTTCAGGGCCAGTGGAAAACTGGAAACTCAGATGGGGTATCCTGAAAGCAAGAGAGGTGTAAGATCCAAATTGAATATAAACTCTACTCAAAATCTTTGCTGGCTACTAAGCTTGGTCCTTGCATTGGTGGCGAGGAGAAATCTAGAACAAATCTAAAAAAATATTAAAACACACACACAAATAAAACACACACACAAATAACAGTACCTAGGGCAAACAAAATTTTTTAGTAATTGATTATGTTAAGAGTAAATAAAAAAGCTGGACCCTCCCTGGTGGTGCAGCTGGTTAAAACACAGCACTAAGAAGCTAAAGCCACTTCAGCATGAATTCGAACCCCACCCCGAAGGTGACCACATAGTGCAACAGACCTCTCCTGACCCACTGCTGCTCCCCTCATCAGTGTACTTCGTTGATTTGATGGTTCTGCTCCCCACTCTGTCTTGGGTGAAGCCTCTTACCGTTCTTGCTCCTCTAGCCTGTACCCCAGAGTTCTGTATGTACAAATAAATAAATCTTTAAAAAAAAAAAAAAGAGTAAATAAAAAGAGATCACAAATTACTCAAACATAAAGAGTCATAAATATGAGAGAAAATAAAGGCAAATACAACAAATAGCAGTTCAGGTATAGTATATATTAATTCAGCTATATCAGTAATTGCTCAAAAAATCAATTATCTATATACACAAGAGAAACTGTCAAATTTGAAAAAATATACATTCTAATTATATTAACAAACCCATTTTAAATATACAGACTTAGAAATGTTGAAAAGTAAGATAGTAGAGAAAGATATTTCATGCTAACATAGCCTTTAAAAAGCTCAAGTAGTTATATTTCAGACAAAACAAGCTTTGAAAACCAGTAAAATTATCAAGGACAAGTACAGGCTGTGCATAATAACATTTTCCAAATGACAAACATTTCTTAATGAGTATGCACCCAAAATATGCACGAAAATATGGGAGGTAAAATGAATAGAAATGCAAAGTAGACAAAACAGTTATTATAGTTAGAGATTTCAGCATCATTTTTTTTTCAAAGATTTATTTATTTATTCATACAGAACTGGGGTACAGGCCAGAGATGCGGAGGGTGAGAGGATTCACCAGAGACAGAGTGGGGAGCAGAACAGGCAGATCGACGAAGTACACTGCTGAGGGGAGCAGCGGGCGGGTCAGGAGAGGTCTGCCACGCCATGTGGTCACCTCCGGGGCAGGCGGGAATCGAACTCATGCGGAAGCGGCTTTAGGTTCTCAGTGCTGTGCTTTAACCCGCTGCGCCACTAGGGAGGGCCGATTTCAGCATCATTTTTAAAAAAGCTGACATACCTGGGGCCCTTCCTGGTTAGGGCAGCACTGCAGCAGGAGTCAGAGCCCTGATCTCCAGCAGTGAGGGGAGCCACGTGACGCAGCAGACCTCTCCTGACTGCTCCCCTCAGCAGTGTATTTCATCAGTCTGCCTGTTCCCTCCCTACTCTGTCTCTGGTGAATTCTCTCACCTCCTGCACCTCTGGCCTTTACCCCAGTTCTTATATGAATAAGTAAATAAATCTTTAAAAAAATAACCGATATTATCAATCATAAAATCAGTATTTAGCTTATCTGAACACCACTATCAATCACCGTAATATAATAAACAATATACACAACTTCCTCCGACAACAGCAGGATACACAATATTCTTAATGTCACAGAGTTTTTACCCAGAGACCATATTCTGAAACATAATACTCATTTTGATAAATTTATAAGAGTAAAATATATGTTCTCAATGACAATGGAATTAAACAAAAATTAACGATAGGAAAATAGCTGTAACATTCCCAAATATTTTAATATTAAACAACTCTTCTAAATCACTCATGGGCCCAAAAGAAGTCTCATGAAAAACAAAAAAATGATTTTAACTATGAAAATATAAAAATCATGGCATACAGCAAAACCAGTGATTGGAAGTTTATAGTATTAAATGTGCATATTAGAAAAGAAAGATCTGAACTAAGCTTTCATTTTAGAAAAATAGAACAATTTAATCCTAAACAAACAGAAGCAAATAAAAATGAGAGTCATAGATCAATTAAAAAGAAAACATGTAAACTGGAGAAAATCAACACACCAGTTTGTTCTCTTTTTCTTAGATAAGACAAGAAAAAGAGAAGACATGAGTTGACAGTATCAGAAATAAAAGAGGGGCATCACTACTGATTTAATGGAAATGAAAAAGTAATAATATTATGAACAACTTTTATTATTATTTAATAACTTAGATAAATTGTAGTAATTTCTTGAGTGACGAATTGTCAAAATCCACAAAAAAAGAAATGGCTTTTTGGAATAGATATGTATATATCATTGTGTCAATGATAACCTTCCAGAAAAGAAGCATCAGTCCCAGATACTCTCACAGATGGACTGTACTACACACTTAATAGAAATTGGTACTGATTTTCCATAGTCTTCCAGAAAATTGAAGCAGAGAAAGCATGTCCTTAATTCATTATACAAGACCAGAGTTACTCCAAACACAACCCTGATTAAAGCAGAATGATCTAGAAAAATTACAGATCATGTCTCATGAGCATGAATGCAAAAACCTTTTTTGAAATATTAGCAAATTGTATCCAACAATTATTTAAACAAAATTGTGTATCATGACCAGGTAGGATTAATACAAGATATTCCAGGTCAGATCAGCATTTGAGATCATTCACTGTAATCCACTACATCAAAAGAAAAATAGAAAAAAATGTTATTTTTTTGCTGAAAAATGGACAAAATCATTTTCAGCATAATAGGAATGGGGATACCTTTCTCAAATTGATGAAGTACATAAAAAAAAACTATAACTAAATTATACTTAATGATGAGACATTGATGATTTCCCCTTAGGGTTAGGAATGAGACAACTTTTTTTTCTCATTCCTCATTAACACCTTATTGGAAAGCCTAGATAGTGTAATAGAGCAAGAAAAAATACAGATTGGGAAGGAAAGAAAAAACTTTGCAGATGACCTGACTATCCACATAGAAAATCCCCAAAAGCAGCAACAACAAAAATCTCCTGGAGCTAATAAACAAGTATACCATATCCACAAGATACAAAGTTAATATCCTAAAGTCAATCACATCCTTACATATCAACCAAAAATTTGATATTTTTATTTGTAGTGCATTTAACGTGGACAATCAAACTTCAAATTATATAATATTTATGAATAGTTTTTTTTTGACATTTTAGTATATATCTCTACAAAGCAACACCTTTTCAAGTGTTAGGTTTCTATTTTTTTTTAAATAATGTTTATTTTTACATCATTTTGTACATTAAAATTTGATTTTTTAAAAAAATGCCCTCCCTGGTGGCACAGCGGGTTAAAGCACAGCACTGAGAAGCTAAAGCCACTTCTGCATGAGTTGGATCCCTGCCTGCCCCGGAGGTGATCCACAGGGCTGGCAGACCTCTCCTGACCTGCCCACTGCTCCCCTCAATAGTGTACTTCGACCATCTGCCTGTCTGCTCCCTACTCTATGTCTCTGGTGAAGCCTCTCACTGTCCCCGTACCTCTGGCCTGTACCCAGTTCTGTATGCACAAATAAATAAATCTTTAAAAAAAGATAAAAGAAAAACAAGAATAAAATTAACTAAAAGTGCTGAACAGCAAAATATAAACAAATAAAAAACACGAATTGTTCTGCTGGAAGGAACATAATCTGTTAAAGTATCTAAAATTTGACATGTTCAAAAAAAATGGGAAGGAAGGAAAAACCCTTGCAGGTAAGTCTGCAAATCAATGGGTCATGAATGCACAATTAGGAAAACGTCTTACTGTATTGAAAAGTTGAGATGTTTGAGGTATTGATTGCAATATCAGGTTTTTCAGATACAATGCATTTAAATGAACAATTTTTCAGATACAAAGCGTTGAAAGGAACAGAAATTTTCAGATATGGAACATTTAAATGAACAATTATAGGGTTCAAGTATTTAAACATTCGGTTAACTAAAATATTTGAATAATTCCATTGTTCTCAAAGTTGCTCTCATTATTCTCAAGAAACTTAAAACTAGTGAAACCTATCCCTTAAAGATATAGATTACCGAGTTTTTATTTTCTAAGGATATATGTTGAGTCTTTTTAATGTTAATTTCAGTTCTAATTCATGCTAATTTAATCATAAATGCTTTCAACTCTAGAGTTCATGGGCCTTTCTTTCCAAGAATTCTGAGGCGTAGGAAAGGAAAGAGAGACTTTGGAAAGACCATAACACATATTGTAGCAAAAGTGATGACTACTGACATGGTAAGAAATACACACTGCTCCTACTAAGATTTCACTTCATATAGTCAGAAAAGAAACTTGTGGGGAGGGTTATTGTCTGTCTCATTAATGCCTTGCTTCCAAAATATACAGCTTAATGGTTCAATGGTTGGCATAGAATAAGGACTAAGTAAATAAATGTTAGTGATTGTTCACTACCAAGTAGTCAGGGGAAGGATAGTAGTGCGATTGTTATGAGAAGATTGAATTTGAGGGAGATCCAGTATTGAGCTAGACCAAGCAATGTCTTTCTTCATACATTTGCTAACATTTGAACTTTATAACCATGATGCTGATATGGCCAGCTAAAAAGGCAATTACACTTATAACACAGCAACTGCTATATCTAATAAGAGTATGTACAAGACGTACCCAAGATGGGCACATAAGTCAGTCCTTATGGATCTGCTGGCTGGTAGAAATAAAAGCGGAGATCTGAAAGACAAATATAAATTTAATCATACTAAAGGGGAAAAATGTAAGTTAAAGAGTAAATATTTCCATCTCACTTGACCTTTCAATAGCATTTCACAGGGCTCTGCTTGAAGTATTCTTTCTCCTTGTCTTCTGTTACTGTGCTTTATTGGTTTTCATTCTACCTAGTTGTATATTTCCCTTCCCTTCTGTCCTGTAATTGTTTGGCACCTTTATATTTACTGATGATCTAAAACGGTGTGATAGCCTAGATTTTTGTCTGAGCCCCAAACCTATATATCCAAGTGCCCTCCAGATTAACTCAAATACTTAAACTCTCAAATGTTCACAGTTAAAATCGTCTTGTCCTGCTTATTTACTGAAGTGTTTTGTTGTTCCAACAAATGGCAATAGCATTTACTCAAATACGATTCATGATGTTGAACATCTCTTCATGTGTTCGTTGGTCATTTAAAGAAATATCTGTTCAAGTCCTATGCCCATTTTTAAATAGAGTTGTCTTCTTGCTGATAATTGTGTGGTTTTTATATATTCCTGAAACTAGAGTCAGATGTTTATTTTGCAGATATATTCTTCTGTTTCATATATATATATATATATATATATATATATATATATATTGTTTCTAGTTGTTATTTGATGTACAAAAGCTTTAAAGTTTGATGAAGTCCAGTTTATTATTTTTTTTAATTACTCATTTTGTTTGGTGTCATACCATAGAAACCAATGCCAAACCCATGGTCATGAAGATTAACCCTTATATTTTCTTCTAAGAATTTTAAGATTTTTAGGTCCTCCCTGGTGGCACAGCGTGTTAGGATGCATTACCTGCAAGCTATCCACAGCCTCTTCAGTGCCTTTGATCCTCAGCCCCAGAAGTGACCCAATGGCGCAGCAAACCTCTCCTGTCTCACCCGCTGCTCCTGTAGCAGTGTACTTTGTTGATCTGCCTGTTCTGCTCCCCGCTCTGTCTCTGGTGAAGCCTCTCAGTGCCCCTGCACCTCTGGCCTGTACCCCAATTCTATATGCATAAATAAATAAATCTTTAAAAAAAAGTTAAGATTTTTAGATCTTATATTTGGGTTATTGATCCATTCTAATCTTTATATACAGTGTGAAATAAAGGTTCCTGTATTAACTTGGCAGGGAAGAGGTACAGTTACTTTGATTATGTTATATGAAAAAGTAGGGCTTTAAGTCGTCCAGGCTGGGAAAGGTGTTAAGGTCAGGAGATTGTCAGTCTGTTGGGTAAGTGGTGAAAGATCCCCAGCAGCTAAGGACCTCTCATTTCCTCTTGTACTCTCACTGGGGCAGAAAACTCTTAATTCTTGGCAGGCAATTTCATTCTTTTCCACAGATACCCACTTCTCCCCACACCGTTGTGAAAGACTGCTCTGTCCTATTGAATGATCTTGACACTATTTTTGAAAGCCAGATGGCCATGTTTGTGTGTGTGTGTATATATATATATATATTTCCTGGGCTTTGGATTCTATTCTTGTCTTACATGTCTACCCTTGTTATAGCATCACACAGTTCAATTGCTGAAGTTTTGTAGTAAGTTTTAAAATCATAATTGTGATTCCTTTGCTTTTCCATTATTTTTTGGATATTCAGAGTATTTTGCAATTCCACATGAACTGGAGGATGAGGTTTTCCATTTCTGTGACATACAGTGTAGCCTAGAGAATGTCCCAGTATTTTCTGTTGGCTTCTATGTTTATTAGATCTAGCTAGCATAAAGTGTTCAAATTCTCTATTGATCTGTATAGATATTCTAGTCATTATTAAAGTGGATTATAAAATTATTCAACTGTTGTAGAACAGTTTGTTTTCCTTTCAATTTTGTCAGTTTCTTCATATATTTTTGGGTCTCATTCTTTAATGCAGATATGACTGTCATTATTATAGCTTCATGATGCATTAACTTATATTTTGTCAATATAAAATGTTTCTAGTAGGTTTTTGACTTACCAGTATTTTATGTTAGTAGTATAGTCACTGAAGTTCGAATTATTTTTTAATTTTTTTTTATTTTATTAAAAAGTTTATTTTTACATCATTTTGCACATTTTTTTTTCATCTCAATTGTAATCCCCACGGGTTTCCCATCACCAAATCACCCCTGTGCCACCACCATAGTCCCGTGCATTTCCCTCCCTTCCCCCACCCCCCGTTTCGAATTATTTTTATCAAATAATCTTCTTTAAGTATTTTTACTATTAACATATTTGTGTCTTTGAATCTAAAATGAATTCCTTGTAGGCTTAATATAAACATCAGATCATGGTTCTTTATCCATTCTACCAGTTCTGTCTTTTAAATGGTGATCTTAATTCATTAACATTTGGTTACTAATGATTTACTCCTGCTTTCTGCTGTTTGTTTCCTGTATGTTATAGTCTTTTGTGTTTTAATTTTTCCTAGTGCATGTCACTCCTGGTGTCTTCTTTGTATATTTTTGTTATCATTCTAATCTTGGGGATTATTATAGGGGTATGATTAATATTGTAAATTCTAAACATGGGGATTACTATGGGGATTGTAATTAACATTGTAAATTTGTAACATTTCTAGTTTGAAAAAGAAATGAAAATGTTATCAAGCAAGAAAAAAGGAATTTGGTTTGAATTAGTAACTTAGCTTCAATATCATATAAATATCCAGCTCATATCTATCTCTACTCCCTCGTTAAGTTGCTGTTGTCACACATTACATCTTTATGGATTACCTGTTCATAAACCTGGATTTATAATCATTTTGTGCAGTACTTGTTTTTTTTTAATTCAACAGGAAACACAAAGTGGAGTGTTAAATCAAGATTACAATAAATCTGTCTAATTTACCCATGTAGTCTTTACTTGAGTTCTTTATTTCTCCATAGTGCTTTGATTTAATATGTAAAATCCTTTCCTCTGGCTGAAGGACTCCCATTACTGTTTTTTGTTTGTAGGAATGATTCAGCCTTTGTTTTTATAGAAATGTTTTAATTTCTTCTTAAAATTTTGAAGGACAATTTTTCTGGATATAGAATCCTTGGCTGACAGTTTTTGTCCTTTACAGCATTTTAAATATGTCATCCCATTGCTTTCTGGCTTACTTAGTTTTGATGAGAAGTCAGCTGTTAATATTATTCCTAATTCCTTGTATATGTTTGTTTTTCTTGCTGCATTCAAGATTCTTTTTTAATTTTCTAAAGTTTATCATTTGATGTGTTTACCTTTATCACCCAGTTTGGAATCCATCAAACTTCTTGAATATGTAGGCTCATGTCCTTTAATAAATCTAGAAGTTTCCCCAATATTTCTTCTTTTATGTATTGATATTTGAACATTTGACAAATAAATACATAAATTACAATGTACTATTATATAAGATAAATGTTCTGGAAAAGCATATGAAAACAAATATCTATTTCAGCATGACCTTTTATTTAATGTATATTGTTTTATTTCTTCCTTTCAGGTAAAGGACCTATCTTCAGACACACTTCTCCAACAACATGATGATCTGGATTTGGCTTTGGATAGTTGTTATAGTGGAGATACAGTAGTTATTTTTCCAGGAGAATATCAAGCTGTCAATCTTGCTTTATTGACTGATGACATCATTATAAAGGGTTAGAAGGGCATCCTCTGCAATCTTTTGATAGTAATGTATAGTGGAAAAACTGTATAAAATATGGTTAATGAAATTAATAGAAATTATATACCAGTTTATATTACATAAAGATCACTGAGCCTTTTACATGATTTTTTCAACATATTATTTGTATACATCTTTTTTGGATATACTGTACAAGAGCAAATCAATGAGATTACTTCTTCAACCTTGATAATTTAGCACTATTCAGAGATTCTAAATAAATCAAAACTAGAAAAAAAATATTATTTTCAATTGGCTGTCTACTTTCTCTAAAGCCACTTTCGTTCTCACCTATCTCCACTTTAGGAGGGAAACACATGTAAGGATCTACTAAATTTATGCAGCATTTTCTCAAAAAGATTAATTCAAATGCAAAGTAATGTAAATGGAAGTATAAAAACAGTTTGCTATATTGCTTTTAGTTTTTGAACATATTTAGGAACTTTATTTCTGTCTTTTTTCACTGAAATTAAGGGTAATTCCACTATCTGGCCAAAAGAAAAGAATGGGTGAATTTAAAATTTGCCTATCCAAAAATTGAGTAAAATTTTCCTTTTTTATGCTAGAAAGCGAGAGTATTTTTCTGAATTGTGTAGGTATTAAAAACCATATTAAAATTTAAAAAATTTTGGTCTCCTTGAAAACCCAACCCCTTATTTTTAGATTGATATTTAGATGCTTTGACTACTATATGGCAAATTTATGGATGTTATTCAATTAATCTTACAATCTAACTCTGAATTAGAATCTGACAGTCTTTTTTAGGTATAGCAATTTATTATGGCTTTAAAGCAGGTAAAGATACTTTTTGTAGCTTGTGTGTACATGACTGCAATAATATAATTTAGGGAAATATGTAGTGGACTGAGTATTCTTTTACATTTGTTATAAACCTAGATTTTTCCATCATGACATTAAAATAAAGTAATAAGTAATTAACAATGGAATAATTACATATATTACAATATTATTTAAAACGTAAAAAATAACTTAGGAATTAGCAAATATTGACTTAAGTAAAGGTTTTTAAATTTAGGGATTGCTGATTTAATTATGTGATTTTTCTTCCTGTTATTCAGGAGTTGGAAAGAGAGAGGAAATTATGATTACTTCTGAACCATCTCACGACAGTTTTGTAGTGTCCAAAGCTGATAATGTGAAACTAATGCATCTATCTTTGATACAACAAGGGACAGTTGATGGTATTGTGGTGGTAGAGTCTGGTCACATGACTCTAGAAAACTGTGTGTTAAAATGTGAAGGAACAGGAGTGTGTGTTCTTACAGGGGCTGCTTTGACAATTACAGACAGTGAAATAACTGGTGCCCAGGTATTTCATTTTATACCAACTATAGCATTATATGCCTGTATGCAATTTTGTGTGATCGTAACACAAAAAGGGTAATAGTTATTTTATCTTTGACTTATAACTAAATCTAGAAAATAACAAGCAAAATGAAGTCAAGTACACAAGTATCATAGTACACTTAGGAAATATAAACTGTAAAATCCATAGTTAGAAATTACCAACTTTTGTTTAAGTGTGAGTTTTTAAAAATATAAGAACCTATGACTATCAAACAGACCATGAGTCAGTTACTTGACTTACTTAAAAATACAGTACTTAGAATGCATTAGCCATGAGTGTCAAGTATTAAGGTTAGCTCGGATTAAGTTTTCAGATAGCAATCATGAAGCTTGAAGGACAGAAAAATGAGAGGAACTTTTAAAACAATGCCTTTTTCTTAATTTCTACTAACTGAGGAGATAAGACTTTAAAAACATTATAAAGGATTTCAAATATTTATAGAGTACACCTTCCTTATACATGGCCATGGTTGACCAAGGTAATTGAAATCTCAGAAAGTGAAAAACCATGGAGAGCGGGGGAGAAGGGTTAAGAGGAAGACAAACTGCTGTAAATAAGTTTTTATAACTACTGGAAAGAACTGCTTAGAGATTTTTTTATTCCTTCCAGTGACTTCACTTGGGTGGAAGAGCAATGAAACTACCTTCCTTGTAGACCTAATGATTTTACACAAATAATTAGTTTTCAGACTTTTAAAACATTAGCTCTATAGTAGTTTCATGCACTATCATGGGTTTTCATGTATAACTTACGTGTGCTTAAATGCTAATACAGCTTTCAAATCTAAAGAAATTTTGGAAAGGTGTGTATGTGTGTTATCAATTGACTTGCTTTGAATCGACAGGGTGCTGGTGTTGAGCTGTATCCTGGGAGCATAGCCATCTTGGAGAGGAATGAAATTCATCACTGTAATAACCTCAGAACCAGTGACAATTCAAAAAGCACCTTAGGTGGAGTTAATATGAAGGTATTTTCATATTTCTTAATATAGGGTAGGATTGTTATAATTATTAGATAACTAAAATATTAGTTTTAGCCTTAAGATTTAGTCTAAGTGTTACTGATTTGGGAAAGGACAATAATTTAAGTCATTATGATTTAAACAATGGTTTATAGTAAACAAGTTGAATATCTAAAAATTTCAATTTAAAATCTTAGTAAATGAATATAAGTAAGTACATTAAGTTTTATACTTACATATCTGTTTAAGATTTTTCATTGGGCAGTTTTAGAATAATTTTGGAAAGAAAAGAAAGGGAAAATATGAAGTATTTTCTCTTCCAAACTGTAAAATAATTCAGGTTAATCAATTAAAACATCAATAGCAATTCAAGCTAACCAATTAAAACATCAATAGCATTTGTAAGGAAAGTGCACTTACATTTGTTTCTACTTCTGTAATTTCTACCTTTCTAGGTCCCTCTCTAAACTTGTGTAGTTCCTTGGAACTCTGCTTATCATTACCATTATTGACATATCACCAATAATTATCACTGACATACCATCAAGTTTATCATATTAAAAATCAGTGTCATGGTATATTATTGTGTCCCCACAATCAGTTGTTTTTATCACTGACTAAAATAAATTGAAACTATTTTTTTTCTCACTAAACATTTTGGTAGGTGGTTATAGTTAAATCAGGAAAATAACACTTGTTCAAAACTGAGATTTAAAGTGTTTTAAAAATACTTGTAAACCCAAGAATAAGCTTCAGAGTTTATTATCTATGTTTCATTGGCTGCTATTTTATTTTTAAAAAAATCATTTAAAAACTACTTTCTTTGAACAATTTAACAGGTTCTTCCAGCACCCAGACTGAAGATGACTAATAATCATATTTACAACAATAATGGTTATGGAGTGAGCATTCTTCAACCAACGGAACAGTTTTTTATTGTATCAGAAGAAGCCCTCAACAAAGGGGCTGCTTCAGGAGACAAAAAAGATAACATGCTCTCCAAAGTAATGCAAAACCTGAATCTGGAAATGAATGATAATAAAATAGAAGCAAACTTAAAGGGGGACATCAGAATAGTGACGAATTAAAGCATCTGGATTTGTGTTAAAATTTTATATTTCAGTTATTTCTCATATCCCTCAAAAATGTAGTTTTAATTTCAATTCAAAACCTAAAGATACATAAACATTTAAAATGCTTTCCCTGGCTGATTCACTTCATTTTTTTTTTTTTTTTGGAAGTTTTGAAAATAATCTAGACAACATAAAACTCATCATTTTAGGTAGTGCTGGCAGTGGGCAATGCAGAATACCAGGGTTTTCACTGGGCAGAGGGGAGTGGTGAGGCCCAGGCCAGGGTTTGGTGCTTCAGTGGGGTTTCTGCCACCTGGCTTGCTGTTTTTCTGGGTACCACTCCCCCACCTCCAGGTGGCCAGATGCAATGCACTGTAGTGCGGCACTGATGACTCCCAGGCACTGTTCTAGCACTCCTCCATACCAGAAAGCTGGCGGGCACTACTGCAGGAGAGAGAGTGTGGAGGAGGTACTATTGCACAATGGAAGAAGAGGAAGAGGAATGTGCTGGGGAAGGTTCTTATCCTTCAAGTAGTAAATGGTATAGTGGAGTTCTGATGTAGGATGGGGTCTCAGATGAGGATAAAGTCGGCACTAGGAGAGGACCTGGATGGCGCATCTCATGACTGGCTTCTAGTCTCAGAAAACAGCAGGAGACAGATCAGAGGAAGGCAAGTACAAAAATGATGCGGCTCTGAAGATACAGGAAAGAGAAAGGTTAAAAAAAGGAAAAAAAAAGAAGCCAGGAGAGGCTCAGGGTGGGGAAGAGAATTGGAGCTAGAGTGCACCAATTCCAGTGGAGAACTCATGTTTCTGATGGGATGGAAAAACTGGTCAGGCTAGTCTCGTCCCTGCCGGGGAAGCCAATGTCAAGTGTCCACAGGTTGTCATACTCTTCTAGAGAAAGACCTGACATTGTCTGTCTAGCCCTTGAGGAAGATGACCAAAAAAAATGACAAGATTTAACTCTTGAGTACCAAACTCATATTACTGTGCATTTCAAGTGGGAAGGGGAGGAACTCAACTTTTTTTTTAAACCTTGAAGTGCCTTAAGACAAATGTCCTCTAAGAGCCAGAGTAGTTCTATGTCCAGCAGCAGGCCAAGTACTCAAAAGCTGTTCCATGCTATGTTGTTTGCACACCCCGTGGAGGGGGCAGAGGATACATGTTTCAAGTAACTCATTTTGCACTTGGCTGAGAAAAGCAAAGTACCTTCTACGAAAGACAAAATTTGTAGATTGGTGTAGGGGGTGCAAAAAGATTGCAGAGCTTCATAGACATCCCCACAGCCCACAGCCTTCTTCCCAAGCGTTAACTTGCATTTCTGGTGTATCATGTACAATGTCTATTAGTGGTGGTTGGAAGGCCTGGGGTAGAGTGGGAGATGGGCAGGGTCATTTTTGTTAAAATCTGAGGTTTGACTGGGGAAATGATGAAACAATGGAAAGAACAAACAACTAATGGCAATCTGGTTCTATGTCCAGAATACATTAACTTTATTCCCTCTATCCTCTCCCCCCAAAAGTTAGTGGCAAGATGAATGAGGAGTGTGAGATTTTAAAAGCTGCGAACTTCTTAAACTTATCAGTCAAGGTATTCCCTGCCTGAACTTAAGTGATGATCTCAGCAAAGCAATAAGCCTATTAATAATGGCCCCAAACTGCATTGAAGAAAAAACTTTATTGATGTTTACCAGCAGATTGTTCTATCATAGAGGGGCTAATTTTTGAAACTGACATGAAGACCCTTTTCAGTTTTGAAGTTATAAAATACCAGTTTGTCCTTCCAAGCTACTGGCTATTTGGAGATTTAAAGGAGGTGGGAAAACGGGCAAAAGGTGGGGGCCATTCTCTTAAAGAGTGGAAAGCTCTTGGAGCCCTGTTTTTTTTGAACACAAGCCACTAATGTAGGATTCAGCTACTGACAGGACTAATTCCACTGAACCACTTAAAGAATTGACTCATTTAAGCCCTAACCTGAGATTAAATTTTCATACTAAAGCACTGGCTCACTTCAAAATACTAGAAAAAAATTTCTATCCTGAAAATACCAAAAATGCTGCCATAAATCATGCGAGCCATCTTCTAGCCCTCTAGAATTCCACTGTTAAGACCTTATCAGGCACTACAGATTTTAAAAAGCACCTTTTTAAAATATGTAAACCACTGGTATTTGGTATATTTTTAGTATATCTAAAGTGTCTAAAAATATATTTAGTACCATCTCCACTAATTCCAGAAACAAGTAGTTTTAAACATTGTTTTTGGCATAATTCTAGTCCAGTAGGAAGTATTAAATGTTCTGTGTAGAGAATAGAAAAAAAAATTTTGTTTATAGCCAACTCCTGACTCAGTCCCATTTTTACCTATGCTACTAAGAGGAGTAAAATAAGGTTCAAATGCTAGAAACAAGGAAATCCAATGTAAGAGAGAGAAACAACATTGAAATGCATTTTCCCTTCATGTTTAAGGCCAGAACAGGGCTTGTGGAGATGTTCCTCAGTGTAGAGCCAGTAGGTGAGTGCTTCATACTAGAAATTCAAAATTCAACTTTGCTCCATGCTGTCTTACTACTTGGGGGTTCAAAAATCACATGGCCCAAGATGACAAGTGTTCATCACATTTAAATTCCAGACAAGGTGCCCTCCCCCTCCTGGTGGCTCAGCAGCTTAAAGCACAGCACTTGGCCACTTCAGTGGAGTTTGATTCCTGCCCTAGACATGACCACAAGGCGTGGCAGACCTCTCCTGTCTTGCCCTCTGCTCCCCTTAGCAGTGTACTTTGTTGATCTGCCTGTTCTGCTCCCCACTGTCTCTGGTGAATCATCTCACCACCCCTGCACCCTGGTCTGTACCACAGAACTATATGCATAAAAATAAATAAATCTTCAAAAAAAAAAAAATCCAGACAAATAAAATTAGAGGATTTTTCTACATAGTTTTTTCCAACTTTTATGTATCCTGCCAGCAAGAATCTAGTAACATGCTGCAAATGTGAAGCCAGGAAATATAATACATAAATTGAATTGCCAAGTGTTCTCTAAATAGTTTGTTTAGGGATTAGTTTCCTAAGCAACAGCTATTTTTTTCTCCCACAAAGCAGCATTTACATTGATTTTAAGATATAAATGTAAATTATTTTAAGATATAAAAGGAAATAGTCACTCAAGCTCAAACACTTAATTAAAACTGTTTTCCCACAATTTCATCTTTATTTCCTGTTATCTGTAACCAAGCAAAGGTGACCTAGTACACAAAGAATAAGGCTGAGTGAATTTAGCATTGTTATTCTTCAGTATCTCATTTACTAGTTTTGCTTTAAACTCCAGTTTAAAACAAGCCTGGGTGCTTTAGCACCGGGAACTGTTAAATGGAGGTCTTAAAAAATACCAACTAAGGGCCCTCCCTGGTGGCGCAGGGGGTTAAAGCACTGCACTAAGAAGCTAAAGCCACTTGTGCATGAGTTCGATTCCTGCCTGCCCCGGAGGAGATCCACATGGCGTGGCAGACCTCTCCTGACCCGCCCGCTGCTCCCCTCAGCAGTGTACTTCATCGATCTGCCTGTTCTGCTCCCCACTCTGTCTCTGGTGAAGTCTCTCGCCGTCCCTGCACCTCTGGCCTGTACCCCAGTCTGTATGCATAAATAAATAAATCTTAAAAAAAAAAAAAATACCAACTAAAAAAAAATATATTTTTTTTTATTATTATTGTTACATCATTTTGTGCCTTTTTCCATCTCAGTTATAATCCCCATGGACTTCCCACCACCAATTCACCCATGTGTCATCACCACAGTCCTGTGCACTTGCCCCACTTTTGATCCATTCCTTTTAAAAGTGAGATTTTCCCTTTCCCTCCCTGTTCAGGCAGCAAGAGGCGGCGGTACTGGGCAAAGATTTTTATTAAGAGTTACCAGGAAGAGATATAGCTTTTGTTTCCCACTTCGCATCTGCCTTTCTTCTGCTGCCACTGGTTTCCTACCAATTTCTCTTCCCAGCCAATTCCTGAATACAGTATTTTCCCAGTTCTCACATCCCTAAGATATACACAAAGGATTTTTAATATTTTCTAGGAAATCTGATCTTTTACATAATTTTTTCATCCTTCACTCTCCCACACCTACCCACCCAATAAATTTAGAGACTATTATCTTACAATTCTTTTTTTCCTTAAAGATTTATTCATTTATTTATTCATGCATGTATGCATGCATACAGAACTAGGGTACAGGCCAGAGGTACAGGGGTGGTGAGAGGCTTCATCAGAGACACAGCAGGGAGAACAGGCAAATCAACAAAGTCCACAGCTGAGGGGAGCGGTGGGCAAGACAGGAGAGGTCTGCTGCACTTCCGGGGCCAGGAATTGAACTACTACTGAAGCAGCTGTGGCTAGCTTTCAGTGCTACATGCTAACCTGTTGCACCACCAGGGAGGGCCCTATCTTATTATTCTTTAGGTTGAAGTCTGACAAGGGTCTCAATGGACTAACCAAAATACAGACAGGGTTTTATTTCTGCCTATTTCAGGGGAGAATTTTTTTGTGCTCGTTTGGACTGTTGGCAGAACTGTTCTTTGCTGAGGCTGTTACCAGCTTCTTGTGGCCAACTGCATTTTGGGTTTTATCTATCCCTCTTCCACTTCAGAAGTCATTACCATTATAATTGTTTTCACAAATTCCAGGTTCCTTAAGCATCCTTAGGTGTGATTTAAGTGCAGCTCTGACTTCATGTTTTTTTCTAGACAGCCACTCAGTCATCCCCCAAATATAAATGACTTGCATTGCCAACTAAAAAGTAATTTGCTTTAGGGTTGTCTTCCAGTCTTCAAGTTTATGCTTGTCTTTGTTGGTAAGATAGGTCTGTTTTGAAATATCCTCAGCTACTATACTTTTCAGTTGGCAACGCAAGTCATTTATATTTTGGGCAATTCGCAAACCTTTTACTATTGTACACAAAATGGGGCATTCTACATTGTATACCAATGTATACAACTTTAACTTTTAATGACTTTTCTGATTGTACTGACCAATTCAAATCTAAAGCTTTGCCAAATGAGTGGAATTTCAGCAGCTTTTTAGTCAAAACCAAAACTTCTAGGTCAGTTCCAGACCAATTCAAAATTGTA